ATATATATATATATATATTTTATATATATATATATATATATTTTTTTTTCATGTTTCATTAAATAATATAGACAATTTTTTGTCTATTTATTTTTGTTATGAAAAAGAATTTACATAAAATAAATAGACAACACTTGTCTATATTATTTAATGATACATACATACATACATACATACATACATACATACATACATGCACGCACGCACGCACGCACGCACGCATGGTGTAGTAATGGATAGCGGCTTGGATTGAGGAATCGCAGAGCCGGGTTCGAATTCCAGTCGAATCCATTACATTCACTTACGTGCTAATACCCTTGGGAAAGGTATGAATCCTCTTCCTCTCCCTCTAGCTATGGGTAAAATAGCAGGACAGACTGGGTTCAATAGCCTTGGATGGCAACTGGTCTCAATTCAAAACCTGCGGAGGGTCGTTTGGGAACCTTGTGGCATTCGGTGCACCAGGTCTCTGTATTCGTCCCTTCAAAAAGTGTGGATGGTCCTGCACGAGGCCTTCACCACTATAATCAAATCTCATGTGCCGGTGTCGGGCTCTCGGTTTCCTGGAATCTGATCTGCTTGACCCTCATACGTCGAATCTCGACGGGAGAGTCGACTATATATATATATATATATATATATATATATATTGAAAAGATTGATACAGTGGACAGTAACTTCTATAATTTCTAGTTGGAATGAAGACAAGATCCGATAGTAGCGGTTGAAGACTTTCGGCACCGAGAGTGATTTTGGAGATACGTTCAAGCGTCCACGTTTCAAGACCTTGTCCATGATCTTTTGCTTTGATAAAGGGTTTAAAAAAAAAATAGCCCGCGGTAAGGCTAACGCCAAATAATTAAATACCACGCCAATAGAGGTTACACATATATCGAACAGATTTACTAAGGGATGTAATAATTACGTGAAGAATTCTAAAAAGGGAAGTAATATATATGTCACTATCTATCTTATCAGGTATGTTCTATCTATCTATCTATCTATCTATCTATCTATCTATCTATTATTTACGTGTAGTTTAGTTTATACCTGACTAACTTTCTACTTACTTTCACCGTTTACAGCTAAGACACGCCATGCTATGTACACAGTGGCGAAACATCTTCATTCCTTTCGTATTTCATTGATAAGAAGTACTTTCCATTCAGACTGTATTTTCCCGAGAGTTGTTGCTTTGTGGAACAGACTCCCGAGATGATGCTCCCCTAATCACATCGACCATAGCCACTTCAAATCTAGGTCAGCTCATATCAATCTTACAGATCCTAATAATCTATAATTGTGACGTCCATAAAACAACCCCATTCACTAAACCTCTACTTGAGTAGCTTTCTACTTTGAGCAGCACTTTGAAGGTGTCGATTGCAACTTTTTTTTGCAATCAACACCATCACTTCACAAGACACCAGAAGTGTTGAAACAAAATGTCTATTTTTGTAGTGATGTTACAACATGCGTATGGTGTAATTTTGAGTAAATGTTATTTACTCTACCCTGTAATAAGCACTCTTTTCCGAATAATCTTTTTGGGTTATCGGAATTTTATTCCATCTGTACCAACCCTGTACCCATATATATATATATATATATATATATATATATATATATATATATATATAATAATAATAATAATAATAATAAAAATAAATATAATAATAATAATAATAAAAAAGGCTTAAACACTAATATTCCATTCGTAATTTATTCCATTGGAATCGTAAATACGGTCCAATTCATCAGACCTACAAATTCAAGAAGAAAACAGAAAAAAAACAACTCCGGGAATAATGTCACCACAAAATGTCTACTCTTTTCCGGTGTATATTTAATGTATTAGACATCTGAGAATATTCATATTTCAATCACTTAAACCATCTTTGACTCCTCTCTTTAAAACTTCTCTCTGTTAAATTTTAATCCCCCCCCTTCATCTTTAGACCTTCCTGTTCCTCTCCTGTTCTTCTCTCGTCTGTTACCCCTCTCTATAGCTTTCATTTACACTAACATTCGTCCCACACTCTCATACATACACTCTCACTAAATTTTATTTTTCACTCCCGGAGTTGGTTTTTTTTTTTTTTCTGTTTTCTTTTTGAATTTGTAGGTCTGATGAATTGGATCGTTTTTACGATTCCAATGGAATAAATTATGACCATGGAATATTAGTGTTTAAGCCTTTTTATTATATCCTTACTCTGTTCTGGACATTGAGTTCTACCTGGATTCTATCCTCTTGGAATTATTTTTTATACAAATATATATGTATGTATGTATGTATGTATGTATGTATGTATGTATATATCTTTATATATTTTAGATATATGATTGCATATGTATGTGTATATTTACAACTAATATATATATATATATATATATATATATATATATATATATATATATATATATATGGGGGGTTGTGTAAATCAAGAAATAGAAAATTCTATATAACATGTTTCAATCTCTAGAAAGACTTCATCAGACAAAAGTAACCTTCATATTTATAGAATTGTATATAAGAAGAGGGAAATATAAACATATATTATATACCAAGGTGAAACTCTGAAAATGTAGGATACGCTCCATTTTAAGTTTTTTAGCTTACGACGTACAGTCCGTTTCATAGCTTTCGCTTTTTTTTTTATTGCTGTTGTTTTTAAATATCAGACACCGAGAAAGCACAAAAACACAGAAGATTTGCCAAGAAAGGAGAAATGTTCTAAGAGCCGGGACGTAAATATACCGTTCAGATCTCAGAAATCAGTACACTTTCTATATATTTTCGCCTTTTTTTCCAGTTTTTTTTATTATTATTATTACTTGGCCTAGTGTCGTTGTTATTCAAATATTACTGGGCAATGAGAGACGAATGTATTTTTCTATTGTCTTATTTGAAACTTTTAAAACCATATGTGACTGAATCTGTGTGTGTTCGCATGCACGCACATTCTTGTGTGTACATTAAATGGCAAAAGCAAATGTAACTCGCACACTCACAACACAAGTATACTCACATTCTCAACATCAGCACGTACAAAGTCACACGCAGTGTATGCCCTTCTTATATATATATATATATATATATATATATATATATATATATATATATATATATATATATATATATATATATATATATATATATATATATATACGTGTGTGTGTGTGTGTGTGTGTGCGCGCGTGCGTGTGTGAGTGCTTGTGTGTGTGGGGGGAATAAACTAAATAACAAGATATTAGCAACTGTAAATGCGTGCGATAACGTGCATACGCAGATTAACAAATAAATATTTACTTAATCTATAGTGCAAGAAAAACAGTGCTGAAAATAGCTAAGCATAGGTATAAAGTATATATTAATAAATACACATATACCTACGTTTGAAGTGCAACTTAAAATTCCATGGCTTCCCAAATCGTCAGGCACAAATGGCATATGAGCCACTTATTACAACTGTTTCTTTTCTTTTTTATTGGGTGTCTTGGGAGATAAATTACAGACAGATTCAAAGCTCAAAGTTAATATAAACCCAATATATTATTGGGGTGTAAATTAAAAATATAGAGTGTATGGAAGGAGATATTTGGAAAAAACAAAGCCCACAATATGTTGTAAGCTTAAAGTTTGTAAGGTACACACACACACACACACACACACACACACACACACACATATATATATATATATATATATATATATATATATATATATATAAACCTAGTGAGCCAGAAAAAACTACCCAGGTTTCACCTAAGCGGATCTTCAGGGAAAGCTGGCTAAAGTGGCAAAAGAGAAACGCATATATAGTCAAAATCATACCACGTGACCAAAGATAAAAAAAAACACAGGAACACCGAGGGTGGGGTTTAAGATTTATTCAACAACTAAAAGGGGGGGGATATTAAAATACGAACATAAAGGTGGAATGACAAAATAAACGGGGAAATTCGTCTTAACTTAATGCCTGTATCTGTGCGATTTTTTTCGACAGACTTTCATGTTTCTAGCTCTTTCTTTTTAAAACCTTTTTTTCCCTCGAGTTTGATTTCATTATTGGCAAATCAAAAATTCGAAGGTTTTTCGAAACGAGTATAGTTACCTATATTTGTATGTATCTATCTATCTCTCTCTCTCTCTCTCTCTCTCTCTCTATATATATATATATATATATATATATATATATTAAAAAGAAGAGAAGAGAGGTGCCGCAAACGTTTTTGGTTGTAATGTGGATTTGTTTAGAAAAAATATTATGCTTTGTTTTTACATAATTTTACGACACGTGTTTCTGGTCTCGCGACCGTCTTCAGGTAAAAGTGGAATTTCCACATATTATTAAAAATAATTAATTTTTCCTCATGTTCAATGTTAAATATTCTCGATATGAGACATTCTCATTGAATTCAAGAAAGATATTCGGATTACCAACACACAAAACGTTTGCGGCACCTCTCTTCTCTTCTTTTTAATATATATATATATATATATATATATATATCAGTTGGACACATTTCAGATTGTATCTATGACAGGCTTTTCAGATCTAAGTTTATTCATCTCAACTAAATCAGTCATCCATATCAGTCTGTTCAATTTGTTTCGATATTTCGAGCTAATTTTGTAAAGTTCTCTTTGAAATGAGAAGCCGTCAAACAATATTCGACCTGTAAATACAATATAACTACCTGCAATTCCTTCGCCCTTCTCTATGCTCCACCCGTTTACATGTCTGTGCAAATGCCGGATTCCGATTTTGATGTGAGGTGAGGTACTTTTCCTTTCTTTCCTCACTTCATTCTTTTCTACTCTCGCCCCAGATTCACCACAGCGCATCGGATGCCTCTGTGTTTCAGAAAACATTGTCATCTGATAACACGAAACCCCATTTTCGCCTTGACGGCATTTACTTATCTTTAAGTACAGATTTCTGCACCTTTTTGTATTATTATCCGTGCATTCTTTTTATTTGTCTGAAGAGGTTTTAAAGAAAGAAAGAAAGAAAGAAAGAAAGAAAGAAAGAAAAATCAAACAAAAAATAGGAGGAGGATCGCAAAATTGAAAAATCACTTTTTCTTATACACCCACACACGCAAGCACCCAAGTAGAGAAATAAAGAAAAGAATGCGATAGGTATGAACATAATGAGATAGATAGATAGATAGATAGATAGATAGATAGATAGATAGAAACTGCAATATATGAAATGACTGAGATTGATAGATACATATATAGACTACTAAGTTGGTATGAGGAGACTGTGACAGAAAATATATATGAATAGACTACGATAGATAGATAGATAGATAGATAGATAGATAGATAGATACGTTCAACATGAAGTATGAGATGAGATAGATAGATAGATAGATAGAGAGAGAGAGAGAGAGAGATACGAATAGCCTGAGATAGATAGATAGATAGATAGATAGATAGATAGATAGATAGATAGAAATAAAGGCTTGACAGACACAGATAGATAGATAGATAGATAGATAGATAGATAGATAGATAGATAGATAGATAGATAGATAGATAAAAATAAAGGTTAGGCAAATAGATAGATAGATAGATACGAATAGCCTGAAATAGATAGATAGATAGATAGATAGATAGATAGATAGATAGATAGATAGATAGATATGAACAGAGGTTGATAGATATGAACAGACTGAGATAGGTATATAAATATGAACATACTGAGATAGATTGATATGAACAGATTGAGATAGTTATATAGATAAAAACTAGATTGAAATGACGGAGGTTGATCAATAGATATATATATACTAAGTAGATATGAAGAGACTGTGGTAAAAAAATAATATATATGAATAGACATACGATAGCTAGACAGGTTCAAAATGAAGCATGAGTCGAAATAGATATATAGGTAAGTAGGTAACATTGCATATTTTAACATTACACAGTAAACGGCAGTATATGCCTGTGTATGTCTGTCTATTCATTCCTAGCTTATATGTTGCAATTATCCTTTGTAACCCAATGCTCGCCTTACTTAAAACCCATGTCACTTCCTTAGCGCTGACATTGAGGTGCTTAATTCGTGACGTGAACATTAAATGTTGTCACTAAAAAGAAAAGAAAATAGATATAATACCGTATTGAAATATTAAAATACTTATTGACGCTACACATATTTTTATCACGCCACGATTCCCTTAACCGGTTGGCATCTTGGGGCACCATATATACTGCAACTATAACAGCAGGGTATGTTTAGGACAAGGTAGCCAATCGCTCTTCGGGTAGGTTTGAATTCTGTGTTTTCATTCTCCTAGACTGGCTGAGAACCCAGTCTGTTGCGAGCGGTAAGAAATGGATTCGTACGTTTCCCAAGAGTATTTCTGCAAAAGTGACGCAACGAACTCAACCTAAATTCGAACTCAGCTTTCTAATTTCTTTTTACAAGAAGCTAGCTGTTACATTACACACATATATATATACGAGAGCAGCTACCGATTCTACATAACGCCCTTTTTTTTCAAATAACTCCCTTCTTAAAAGAAATACTTCTTAACCAAAACATACATGACCATAGACGTTCTTAAAAATTAAAAGAAAATGGTTACATTGAACTCACACTCTTTAATGAGCTCTGGTAAAAAAATAAAATAAAATAAAATAACCTGAAATGATAACTGTAAAAATTGCAATATGAGCACTCGTAAAAAATGTTACTGAAGACATTAGGTTTATAATACCCAGAACGTCATACACAGATGTCCTCAAAGACACATGGCACAGTGGATAAAGGTGTTAGTACTTGGAGAGGGGAATTAGCTGGAGATATATGGCAGTGAAACTAGAACAGCCTACCCCAGCGAGCAAAATAAAGGGTCCAGGGCCGAAACGTTGTGATAAATATGGTAACAAAGATGAAAATGATAAGTCTGAACAATTTAAATTGTGTACAAAATACCTATTCTCACATACATATGAGAATATATATATATATATATATATATATATATATATATATATATATATATATATATATATATATATATATATATATATATATATATATATATATATATGTGAATCGAATATGTAGGATAAAGGACAAAAAGGAAACGTTTGTCAATATAACATGGAGAAACAAAGTAGAAAGACATTTAGGTTTTTTATTTTTGTGTTGTTTGATTTTCATTGGTTAGTCAGTTTTCACGCGCATTTGACTTGGCAAGCAACGTTAGTATAATTTAGGGCACTCTTAACTCAAGGAGAGACGACGAATCCCTTCGACGCTCAAAAAAACGCGTCGGATAAGCATGTGGGAGGGACTCAAACGAACCGTCAAGTGGAAGGACGTTGGATTAGGATGATCGGAAAGGTGATGGACTCCGCCAGCGCTACTTGCCCAAGATATGCTACATAGGCATGAATTATTCCTCCGACTTTCAACCAATACATGTGGAACAAGCTGGCTAGCTGATGAACTGCGCAGAGTCCCTACGAACACACCTGGTCACGGGAATTATGATACATTTCACAATTTCAAGTGTAATCGTCTATGTAAATGTCGCGATTTGAGAGCAACATGGTCTAATCTTCAATAAAGTAGTCTTCCATTAATGTTGATTCACCCATCAAATACACTCTCTCAAAAATAGTATTTGTCAATAGTCGACTGTTCGATGTTTCAGAATGACACCTCCTTGGTAAACATTTTATTTGATTACATATTATAATGATTTCATTCCGGAGTAAATATTTCCGACAGGTTAAATTTCATGTCTTATTAGACAAAGTGCAATTATTAAAAAAAGGAATAATTGAAGAGAGTTCCACAAGTGAGGTGCGATAGAGGAAACTGTTAGCATAGAACTCACGCTTACATCTAGCCATCTCAACTAGAAGATGATGAGACCTTGCCGCCAATCTAGTACAGAATTCGTAAAGACAAGGTACGAAAGAGGAAAGCTCATCAAAAAAATTATCATGAAAATATTTATAGAAAAGGCATATTATGGCGGTAGGAGAGTGACTGAAGCTGAGATTCCAGGTCAGAACCAATAACATAGCAGATTCTTGTTTAATTTTTATCTAGTATCTCTAAATACATCAAAGATAATAAATATATGGAGGGTTTTGGTTTGGTTTGGTTTCTTTTACGGCATATCAACCTCAGTGGGTTATTTAATGCCGACAAGATTTTTATTGCTGGTAATATTTTCTATCTATCTATCTATCTATCTATCTATCTATCTATCTATCTATCTATCTCAGTATATATTGGTTTGGTTTGTTTTGTTTTACGGCATATCAACCTCAGTGGGTTATTTAATGCGGACAAGATTTTTATTGCTGCTAATATTTTTTTTCCAAAAATGTATTGCTGGCAATCTTTTTTTATTTAAAAATATATTGCTGGCAATAATTTATTACTGGTAATAATTATTTACCAAAAAGTATTGCTGGTGATATTTATTTTCTTCAAAAATCTATTCTGGTACTGAAACCTGTTTTTACACTTTCATGGTGTCTTGACCTCAGTTTAGGGGTTAACTATTTGCCCATAGCTAAGACCCTAACAGGTGCTACCAGCCAGTGTCAGGGTAGACCTGGGAACACCAGCAATTAAGAGGTGGTTCCACGCTCCTCAAAACCTCCTGATCAGAGGCCTTGCTGTTGGACAGTAGTTTATCGTCTTGCCGAGGACGCGGATGTAGTTTATCGTCATACCCAATAGATGGAGTGAATAAAGAAAAGGAGGAATGATGAGAAGATGAAAAACGAAAGGAAGGACAGAAGAAAAGAAGGAAAAAAAGTGAAAAAAAAAGAAGGAACGAATTAAAGAATAAACAAAGAGGGAAAAAATAAAAGAAGGAAGGGAAGAAAGAACACAAGAAAATGAAGAAAATGGAAAAAAAAGGAAGGTAGAAATGAGTAAAAATAAAAAGTGGTACGAAAAATGTCTGGTATAAAATAATGAAGGAAGGAAATAAGAATTAAAGAAAATAAAAAAAGAATAATGAGGCATGAAAGAACCCAGGGAGGAATAAAAGAAAGAAGGAAAAAAGAAGAAAAGGAAGAAAAAATTAAAAAGGTAGGGAATAAAAATCATACGGGAGCGAATTATAGAAAAAGTACATGGAAATAAAGAAAGAAATAAAGATAAATTAATGGAAGAGACGATGGGAAGAATAAAGCCAAGAATGAATAAAAATGCAAGGATATAACGAAGAAAATAATTCTAGAATGAACGAAAGAAAATGTGAAAGAAAGAAAAAGAAAGAAAGAAAGAAAGAAAGAAAGAAAGAAAGAAAGAAAGAAAGAAAGGAGAGAATCAACAAACATGGGGAAGATTAACGGAAGAAGAATGGGATGGATAAATGAAGGAAAAAATATAAAGAATAAAGAAAGAAATATAGACAGAATAAAAGAAGGAGAGAAAGAGAAAGGGAAGAACAAACGAATGACGGAATGAAGTAAGGAATGCATAAACAAAGAAGGAGTAGAAAATAAAAGAAAGCAAGTATAAAGGAAGGAGGGAGAGGCTAAAAGAAGGAAGAAGAAAAAGGAAATGATGGACAGTAATAATAAAAAAAAAGAAAGAAAGGATTAATAAAGACAGGTAATGCACAGTAAAAGAAAAAGAGAAATAAACAGATAAATAAAAAGAAAAGATATTAAACAGAAAAGAAAGAAAAACAGAAAAGGAAAGGTGGAAAATGACAGAACGAAATAAGGATGCAATAAAAGAAATTTGGAGAGAATAAAAAAAGTGAGTAAGGGAAGGAACAAGAACGGAATGAATAAATGAAAATAAAAAGGAAGGAAAGAAATAAAGAATAAAATAAAGAGAGAGAGAGAGAGAGAGAGAGAAACAGTAAAAGGAGGGAAAATAAAAAAGTGTAAGGAAGGCTTTAATAAAGTAAGGTGTGAAAGAATAAAAAAGAGAAGGGATAAAGAGAAGAAGAAGCGAAGGATTAAAAGGAAGGAGAGAAAAAAGAAAATAAGGAAAGGAATAAAAGGAATGAAAGAAGCAATAAAAAAGAAAGAAAAAAAGCATATGAGAACAGAAAGAAGGAAGCAAAGACTAACAGGAATAAAAGAATGAATAAAGGAAGAAAGCATGGAAAGAATAAAAGATGGAAGTAGAGAAAAATAAAACGAAAGAAAGTGAGAAAGAATAAAAGAAAAAATAAAGAAAGAAAGAAAGAATATAAAAAAGGATGATGGTACTGGTGCTTCTGCTATATATCTAGAGACACTTCCCCAAATATAAATAAGAGTCGGCAACATGATAAGTCCTGGCCTGTCATCTCGGCTTCAGTCGATTTCTCAACGTTGTAACGTAGAACCCCTTTGTAAAGCAGCTTGCAAAATCGCTATATGCACAAAAATTGAGTATCATCTAACTTGTATTCAATTGAGAAAGCAGTATAACGCATATCATTTTTATTACTTCAAAGCCCCCCCCCCAAAAAAAAAATTAATTAAATTTCGGCATTAAATGATCCATAAGAAGTTGATATACAGTTAAACAAACAAATCAAACAAGATTACAAAAATATATAAAAATAAACACAAAAGTTTGGGCTGATTTCTCTACAACTCTTCTCGTATCTACCTACGTATGTCTGGTGATTTTCTAAGCGTAGTTTAGATGTGGTACAAGGGCAAAAGTATGGGGCACCTAGTGAGGATCGAACTCTCTATTAAGTCATAACTGATCTAGCGAGACAAACTTGCTAAGCATTACACAATGTGAAATTTCCGGTCCCCATATGTTATATGTATTTAAATAAATGTATTCTTTCAACGTCAGACTGGGTACCCGATGGCATCTGTCTTTGAATGACGTTAATACCGTCGAATGCAATCAGTCTACTAGTATATACTCGCTGGTTCTTCAGCACTGGTTGCGATAAAATCGTCATGAGATCAGGGTGAAGTACATGAAGCGGATTCTGTGAGGTGAGATGCCTGAAAGAAAAAGATCAGCTTAAAAACCAAAACCGGTATAAAGAGACGATAATCATTTCACCCCAAGCAAGGCGGGAATGACACTAATACGAAGAGGGTTACAGAGGGTACAGGTGATAGAAGAGACTGTGTATAAGGTGGGGGACTGGGGATAGGATAAAAGCTGAACGGGGTTCAAGAAGATGGAAAATGGCGATTGACGTTGCATTTAAATCTTTGAAGATTGTTTGTTATCAGGGAAGCAGGCAAATGGAACGGAGTTCCAATGGCGGGAAGGGTGTGAAAAGAAACTGTTGGTGTAGAAGTGATGACTACATTTATTTATTTCAACAGTAAAACGGTGGGACCTAGATGACAATCTAGTAGCACGCTTAAACTCACGTAGTCCGGGCACCAGGGAAGAAAAGATCGTCGAAGCTGTTGCTATATTTGTAGAAAAGACATGGGGAAGCGATGTCACGTCGGTGAGAAAGTGACCGAAGTCGAGATGCCAAGTCAGGATCAGTTACATTACAGATATTTCTTTGGATTTTGCTGAGAATCTCGCGATGAACAGCAGAGGAACCAGACCAGATATGGCAACAGTATTCAATGCCCGAACGAATGGTAGAATTATAAATGTGTAAAGTAGATTCTGACAAGAAAAAACCTTCTAGCACGACACAAAGACCCAACTTTCCATACAGTAGATGCATCTATTGATTCATTGTAGTCATTTCAATGTCGTCATTCCACTTCGAGTCAGTTGAAAACGTGATGCCAAGAAGGTGCAGTGTGTTGCTCTCCATGAGTCTAACACCATCTATGCTAATGGCAGGCATGAAATTGTGGTTAAATAAGAGCATTTTCGTTTTGGAGGCACTAAAATTTACAAGTTCTTTCCTGCCCTGTTAACCACAGATTGGAGTTCCTTTTAAAGAGAATCGGCCAGTTTATCTTTGTTAGCTCTGACGGATTTGCTATTGAGACAGGATTAAATTGTAGAGTCATAGGATAAATGCCCACTTAGGAATTGATAACATCAGGAAGATCATTGAATCATCGTAGCACTCAGGATAAAGCCTTGGGGCACACCCGCGTTCGTGTGATTGGATCTGGATATGAGCCCGATCAAGACGATTCGATAAGAACAATTGGATTAAATCAAACAACTGTTCAATAATACCGTAGCCCTGTAGATTACGTGCCAAGACCGGCGTGTCAAACCTTTTTAAACACCTTCGAGATATTTAGAGCCACAGTTATTATCAAGAGCTAATATATATATATATATATATATATATATATATATATATATATATATATATATATATTTGGTTGGATAGATGTGAGTTTGTGACCTGGGTTTTCCCGTTTGGCGATCGTCAGACACCAAAATTTTTAAAACATTAATCAGTTTGTCTGACGATCGCTAAAGCGTGAAACCCAGGGGAGACAAACTCACATCTATCCAACCAAATATGTTACCTCTATCTCTGATATTGAGCGCTTTCTAATAAGTACCCTTTCATATATAATATATAAATAATTATACATATATATATTTATTTATATTTATATACACTTTCACACACACACACACACACACACACACATACACATATATATATATATATATATATATATATATATATATATATATATATATATATATATATATATATATATCCGATGTGATGAAAACAAAATTAATATATAAATTCCAACATTCACAGCATTAATCCAGAAGAGGGCTCGATACCGATAGTAGAGCGATAATTATTTATTCTAATTTTATCATATAGACAAAACCATTTTATTCACTACAAAGATGCAACTTTGTTTCAGTGCATTTCAACTACACTTCGACGGGTGAGAATCGAAAATGGTTATGAAGAATCCTACTTGTAGGCAAGCCGTATGTGAAACGTCACTTTCTTTTTCCATTTGTTTGAGAAGAAAAAAATACACACAAAGCAAAAAAAAGGTGACGGAGTGAAACAATAGTGCTTGTTGACAGCAGTTTGGTGATAAATGGATTGGGTGTTAAATGTTGACTGGTCTGTAGAGATTTTTCCTTGCTGATAAACATCGGACAAATGTTTAGGCACATTATCTCACAAGCGCCCTAAGAGTGAGAGGTAGGGGAGGAGAGGTGGAGATTGGGGACAGTAATACGTTGGAGTAGGTAAAATCATAGCGATAGTTCTAGTAGTAGTTGGGAATGTCATTTTTAATTTACTATCAAAAGTCTACAGCTGAATTGCATATATTTATGTTGGGGTTATTACTATTAACTCTGTAATCGATGAAAGTGTTTTGTGGATTAATAAATTTAGAAGCGGTGATTTCCTCTGAAAAAAAATAAGGGATATTAATATAACATTTTATAATCAAATTTTGAAATATTCCTGGACAGTATAGCGTGTAGAATAAGTATGGGTGCAAAACAATTTATCTGAAAATATTACCATAATATATATATATATATATATATATATATATATATATATATATATATAATAATAATAAAATAACTGATTTAAATATGTTTTTTCGCTACACAGTTCTAACCATGTTTCAAAAATGGAAGCTAAAAACTTCGAATTTAATTTTGTAATTAAATTAAAGACATTAGTTTCATTTCATCCTCAAGCGAATTTTGGAGTAACTTATTTTAAAATTTACTGAGTTTTAAAGGCACGGCAAAAATTCATAATTCACTGTTTCCAAGGATACAGAGAAATTCACTCTCATCCAGACAAGGGGTGTTCATTTTCTTTATATATATATACATATATATATATATATATATATATATATATATATATGGCCGTTAGCACATCAGCGGTAGAACTGGCAAAACGTAAACCATTGTTTGCAAGGACACACTGCAGAAGACCACCATCATGCTAAATGTCTGTGAAAATATAAGCCTAGATCATTCATCTTGTAGGAAAGCAGTGAACAATGGAATGAGTGACTTTCAATTGAATAGCTTTGAGAATGAAAAACTCAAGTGAGATATACGTAAGAGATTTGATGATAATCTCTTTTGAGAAAGCTGGCACAGATAAGTGTGATCGCGTCCGTCTAAGTATGGCAGGCCTCAGAAATCCTCAAAGATGCTATACAAAAAGAGAAGTCATTTCACTGCTCTCTGCATAGCATTTCCTATTGCGGTGAGTGTTCAAAAGAATGTACCTCAAACGTCAAATTTGCTACACCTGCTAAAAAGAATCTAAGTCCATAGCGGGATTAATATAGTGGAAGTCACGCCGGACCTTAAATAGCTTTGATTTCCACGGAGTCGGAACAAACCCAGAAGAAAGGTGAAAAGAAAGTTCCGCTTAAACTGCTTTTTCCTGAGAAATTCTCCTTTGGGAAACGGTCCCCTGCAGAGATGCTTTGTCTGGCATCAATCTTAACATCTTCAATTTGGTGATCAATAATTTAGTGTCTTCATTATGTTCATGATCTTCACTTCCTGTCACTCTCTTTTACACTCATATAACAGACGTCATTCACCAATATCATTTCAAAAGTAGCCCAATAGTTTGCGTAACTCTTGCAGAATTGTATCGGATGAAGTCGAGTATAAAATGCTTGTGCTTATTCCGGTCTATCCATTTTTATATAACTATCCAGCTATTCAGATCTCCTTTTAAATGTCCATAGTTGCTTGCTTTATCTATCTATCTATCTATCTATCTATCTATCTATCTATCTATCTATCTATCTATCAATCTATCTATTTTAATCTGTTTATATCTCAATTTTCATCTTAATATTCACCTTAATATCCATGTAAACTTCTTTATTTTTTTATCTATCTAGCTACCCTTAATCTGTGCATATATTTCTCTGAATTTACATAGTTGCTTGTTTGCTTTATCTGTCTGTCTCTATGGCTATCTATCTATCTATCTATCTATCTATCTATCTATCTATCTATCTATCTATCTATCTATCTATCTGTGGCACCATGCATATCCTGACGATTTGAAAGAAATATTCATAGATATATGATTTGTTTTTTACGGTTTATCAACCATTTAATAATTATTTAAAGCCGAAAAATATTTTGGGTTTTAAGAATAATTC